ATAACTTGATACTCTACCTCTTTTGACTATTTACTATTAATCATTTATTATTATGTTAATGCATTTGTTTTCTATTTAATTAAGACAGGATTCAGGTGGCTAAAATGAGGACCAGGTCAGAATCGGAGTAACAGCCAGGCTGGGGTGAGGCTGAAGTATAGATCTAAGGCTTCCAGAATTTCTTCTCATAAGGAACCTAGTGGGTCCCAGAATCTGAGATGAGCCTGAATTCCTCAAGCCCATTGCATGGGGGTGGATAAAGGGATGGGCTGGGTCAGGATGAGGCTGGAACCAGAAAGCAGGTCCCTAGTGACCCCTACACATGCACCCCACATACTGTTGCCACCTTATATATGCCTCATATCCAGAAAAAGTTGCTTGGTGAAAAGGAAGATATGATTATACAGAAATGCCTCTTTCATCCTTCCATAGATTGAAAAACCCTCCAAGCCAAACAAGGATATATTTTCCAAAATGTAGAGCAAAGTAGAGCAAGGTAAAGCCATAATGATCACCATTTATGGTCCTTAATGTGCATTCTTTCTAATCCTGGAAACAGGCCTGCCAGGAAGGTATTATGAGTTTCATTTTAAAGATAAAATGAAATTCCCTGAAGAACAGGAAATTTATGTAACTTTTAAGGTTATACAATAGGTAAGTGTCAGAAAGGAGATTCCCAACCAGTCTGACACTGAAGCCTATGCTGTTTTTTGTTTTTTTTTTTTTTTTTGAGACAGAGTCTCACTTTGTTGCCCAGGCTAGAGTGAGTGCCGTGGCATCAGCCTAGCTCACAGCAACCTCAATCTCCGGGGCTCAGCGATCCTACTGCCTCAGCCTCCCGAGTAGCTGGGACTACAGGCATGCGCCACCATGCCTGGCTAATTTTTTGTATATATATTTTTAGTTGGTCAATTAATTTATTTCTATTTTTGGTAGAGACGGGGTCTCGCTCAGGCTGGTTTCGAACTCCTGACCTTGAGCAATCCGCCTGCCTTGGCCTCCCAAAGTGCTAGGATTACAGGCTTGAGCCACCGCGCCCGGCCTACTATGCTGTTTTTAAACATAGCTATATTGCCTATCTATATTCTGTCCTTGACTGGTACGTACAAATTTTCCAGCACATCTATACATTCAAGTGCGTTACAGAAGCCCATGGATGTTCTCCATTTTTCTTTACCAAAGGTGTGGGGGAGGCTTTGCCACATCTGCCCACCACATCCCTCAACTCATGACCCATCGTGAGCTGTCTGTGACACTCCTTGCCCAGACCAGTACTGCCAGTCTACAGCCAGTCTCATTCTCCTGGCCACACACATCACCTGCCAGGTGTTAGTTACAATTTACAATTCTGGTTTCCACTCTTCCAGGAATCTCAAACAAGTGCCTGCCACCTGCAGAGGACAAACCTCCTCTCCCAAGCCTGGCCAAAACTTTCTTGTTTCTGCTTTGAGTTGCTTTTTTTAGCTTTTATTTTGGGGACTGAGCTAGAGCCATTCTAGAATTGCAAAGGTAGTTCCTGGGGTTCCACCCCCAATCCAAATACTAAAGCTGAGACCCAGGACAGAAGCAACATGATGCTGTCCAGCTCTATGGGGGAGATGTCATTGCTATGCCAGGTCTCCAGACATGATCAGCCCCTTGGGTGAAAGAGATTTCAGTAGGTATTCATTTATATACTATACACACTTCTAAAAAGCAAATCTACAATTGCCTTGGAAATTTTCAAACATCAAAAAAGAAAGTTATATATTAACCAGCTGTACTCCCAATACATCCCTGTTTATCCTAAAGGGAGTGATTAAAATTTGCTGACAGCTCTAAAAATTATCAGGGAATTACGAGAATGTCCCAAGTTTAATAATTAACAAAGTTTAAAAACCAGAGTTGACTTCAGAGACTTTTAAACAAAAATTATTGTGCCGGTCACCTACTAATTCTCAAATTCTATACTTTAAACTCTTAGTTTTGGCCATTTCATCTATTTCAATGGCTTCAACTAAAACTTCTGTCATACATATCTGTAACCCCAAATTCTATCCCACATTTTCAACTCTAGATGTCCTATCTTTTCCCAAAACTTGTTCTCTCTCTTCTTCTTGTCCCTCTTTTTGCTAATATCATCACCATATCCCCAGTCATTTGACACATGGCACTCTGTGAACCAAAAGTCATCAGTGCTGTTCATTGACCACAGAAGAAACTAAATCTTTTAGGGATGATACACAAGGCTCTCCACAATTAATCTCAACTGACTTTTCTACCGTTGCCTCCCTCTAGTCTTCCCCCACCTAGCTCTCCACACTGAAGTTCTTAAGGTTTCCTAAACATGTTACCATGTTCTTTCACATATTTGTGGTTTTATATTAAATGTTCTTTAGCTTTAAATGCTTTTTCCATCTAGTCTCCTAGAGAATTCATATCCATCCTTTAATACTCAGTTCAAATGTCACCCCCTCTACAAAGTCTTCCCAGATTTCCTCAGAGTTTGACATTCTCTCCAATCACCTTCCCTGGAACTTTTTACATGTACTACTAAAGCCTCTATCACAGGTCAAACAGTATTAATTATTCATGACTCTGTCTCCCACATCACCTTGTGAGGGCCCATGGGGCCATGGCCCTGTATAAGTCATCTTTTATTCCCTTTTGGGACAGGAAGTAAATGTTCATTGAATTAATGAATAATGAATGGATAAATGGACTCCTCCTGTGGCATGCATCATCTTCTATTGTCTTTGTTTGGGCATCCCATCTCCCTTCTTGGATTGACAGGTCTTCCAGGGCAAGAACAATGTGATCCATTTTTTAATCCCCTATCATAGCCTCCCCTAATGCCTACTGTTTGGACAAACAAGTAAAACTTTTATGGAGCCTTGCACTATATTTCAGACTTTGCAAAGCTATTTCACAAACATTGTTTCACCTGCCCTTCACAACAACCCTTTAATCTAGCTATAACTAATCGGTGTTGTCCCCATGTAGCAGATAAAACAATTAAGTAAGGTTGGGACTTGGACTCCTGTTTTCTTGGTTCTTAGAACAAGGCCTATTCCATGGAGTGTTCTTAAAAAAGGCAAATCTACTCATCAATCCCTTTTTTTCATCAGTTAGGGGGTGAATGTAGAGGTTCACCACTGCTTGTAAAAACAGCCAAACCCTTATCTAACCTACCCATACAAGTCTAATATGAATAATCTGAGTGAACTTAAAGGTTTGGAGTATGAATTAGAAAGAGCAAAATAATAGGGGAAAAATAGAAGAATTTGAACCTATCAGGCATACTAGGGTAAGAAAAGGATTTTGGGGACCTGAAAAGAGAACCTTCAGCTTCTGTACGATCGGGTGCTGTGCAAGGCAGCACCAAGAGGCATTTAGTAATATTTTCTAAAACACCTAAGTAGGTATGCTTTTAAGAATAAGTTCCTGCTCACGCCTGTAATCCTAGCACTCTGGGAGGCCGAGGTGGGCGGATTGCTCCAGGTCAGGAGTTCGAAACCAGCCTGAGCGAGACCCCGTCTCTACTATAAATAGAAAGATATGAATTGGCCAACACATATATATATAGAAAAAAATTAGCCGGGCATGGTGGCGCATGCCTGTAGTCCCAGCTACTCGGGAGGCTGAGGCAGGAGGATTGCTTGAGCCCAGGAGTTTGAGGTTGCTGTGAGCTAGGCTGACGCCATGGCACTCTAGCTTGGGTAACAAAAGTGAGACTGTCTCAAAAAAAAGAGAATAAGTTCCTCTAGGAGAGGTTGGCCAACAGCCTTGGCCAACCTCAGCATGCTGTGGTTATGCATCTATGTACCCGCAGCGCTGGGCACAGGGCCTGGCATGGGTGAACTCACAAGGCCTGGCTAGACAGATGTGGTAGGCTGAGATCTGACCCAAAGGTGCAGAGGGCTGCAGGGGCAGCACAGGACCAGGGTCAGCATCCAATCTCCAACACCTGTGTTTCCTCTCCAGCCACAGGAGAGTTCAAACACCTCTGCCCTGCCCTCCTCACAGGAAACATAGCCACCCCTGCCCCTGAAGGCTACCTGAGAGCTGGTTAGGGCAAGTCTTAGACAACACATTCACGGGGGTCTGGAGGTGTCCTAATTACTGCTCAAGCACCAGGAGGTGCAGAAAGTTGGGCCAAAATATCCCTGGGGTCTGTTAAACAGCCTGTGCTGGGAGCATTGCTCATTCCCACAGACCCCATCCCCATATGATCATCCTCCCCCTCCCCCACTAACCCCATTCCTCCTTCTGGCTTCTGTTTTTTTGTCACCCCTGCTGCATACACAGCCGCCCTGTGGCTGAGGGGGTATCTCTGTTCCCATCCTTGCCAAATATGGGCTGGGCCAGAGAGCCAAGTTGCAGCTTGGCCATCCTGCGTTTGGGGCGGCGGGGTGGAGAGGGGGAGGGGGAGAAAAGGCATTTGCCAAGAAGGCCCTGCAGCCTCGGGTAGATCTCTGACAATCATGGAACTGCAGAGATTCAGGGGGGTATAGAAGGTCTTTGGCAATCAATTGGCCAGGGCCCCACCTCTTCCTTCTGTTCAAGGTCATTTTCCCGAAGCCTGAAAAATATTACGTCGTGGTCCATGCCTGCTCCAAGCGAGAGGGCCCAGTGTCCACATCAAGCTAGAGCAATGACTGACCTTTGCACCATCACCACCCCCCCCCCTCCGCCACCCAGGAGGAGTCTCCTCTCTCCCCACCCCCTTTCTCCTGGCTTCGAAAATTCCAGCAAGGAAAGGCCTGCGTTCCCAGGGAAAAGGTCAAAGTCTGGCCCCAGACCTTCAACAGGCTTTCTTCCAGCCCCGGACGCACCAAATCCTTCAACCGAGGAAGGGTTCGGTGTGCGGCGCCCAGGATGCACTACAGCCCCTCCCGTGCACAGAGAGTCGCGGGGCTCCAGGGTCAGCCCACGCCCCACTGCCGCCCCGCGCGCCTCCCCCAGGCGACCACCTGTCCGAGTGCGCTAAGAGAAAGGGAGGGCGCGCAGCCGCGACTGACCTGAGATGCCGCCCCCCACCACGACCACGTCGCATTTGCTGCTCATGGTGCTCGACCCGCTCCAGGCCGCCCTGGTGCCCGCTGCTCCGGTCTCTGAGCCTCGGCCCCCGCCTGCCTGCCTGCTTACCCTCCCGCCAGCCGCGCGCTACCCCCGCGAACTAGCGCCTCGGCCAGCAGCTATATGACAGGCCCCAGGCGCCGGGACGCGCAGCCCCGCCCGCCTGCGACGCGCAGGCCGGTTGGAGCGCCCGGCCCCCGCCCCCGCCCCCGCCCGCAGCTCGGCCCCCTCCCGCAGGCCTCGGTTGGGCGGGCGCCTGAGCCGAGAGGTCACTGGGGCCTCAAGAGTCCCGCCCCGGGGCCACCACCCCTCGGCCTTCTGCACGGTATTTTCCCTTCAGCCTCCCTAGTACGCTATTGAGCTTGGGGGCTGGGGGATGGCAGGTTGGGGGTGTCTTTCTCCAGGGCTTCAGTTACTACTCTGTGTGGAGCAAATAACAACACGCGTTCATGAAACACTTTCAAGATACCAGGCACTGTGCTAAGCGCTCTAGGCAGGATTCCTGATCAACCTGACAACACATTTTACAGATGAGCAAAGTGAGACTAAGTAGTTAGTGAGTGGCCAAGGTAAGATAAAAAGTTGAAAAGGAGAAAAAAAGCCAGGAAGATTCCGAGACCCACTTTGATCCACCACACACTATTGCCATTTCTTAGAACATTCTTGGGTGAGATTCCCAGCCCACCTCCACCTCCTCCCAGATACCCACGTCATTCCCCATTCCCTCTGCATAATTAAATCAGGAAGCCTCCTCACTAGTATTGATAACGCAGCACCTAAAGATGCTCCTGAGTTTCCCCACTTTTGCAAGTGATCAAAACAGCCAGCTGCACATGAAGCCACCCAGTGTGTCAGCCGTGGAAGCTGTTGAGGTTGAAACCCTGGAGGCTGGTGGCAGAAGGGGAGTGGCCTTGGGTGGGCAGGGTGATTCAGAGTCCCCCTGAATCAGCAAGCCGAGTTATTTATGTGACCCTGGGATGTGGGTCTGGGGACCGTGGCTTAACCAAACATAGGGGTGATTCAATGAAATTATAGGTGTTTAAGCTAAAGTGGTTCTGGGTAAAACAGAGGTTTGCTTCTTCAGAGCAGTAGGAAAGCCACCTCTGAGAACTCAAAGTGTGAAGAAGCACAAGAAATAATTGGGCGAAGTGCTTTTGTTCAGGCTAGGGGAGCTGCAGGCCTAGTAGGGGCTGGCTCCAGGTCTGGTGAATTGGTAAGAAATTGAAGCAAACCTCCACCTCATCCAACCGCACTCCCTTTATCCACCTGCTACCAAGGAGTCCTGAACTTCTGCTGCCCTCAGAATAGAAGAAGGTTTGGGCATTTCTGTGACTGAGAAGTCACTGGCGGCAGGAAAAGTCTTGGTCCAGTTCTGACTTAGAATCTAGAAACTTCCATCTCCCTTGCTTTGGTATAAAACAGTCAGACCCTGTGCCTGAACCCCGAGCCCCACCCCATATCCCCACTGCAGGGAATGAAGCTGTCTCACCCTACGGACAGCCTCCTTGCCATGCCCTACCTGGTCTACCTCTGTCTACAGTGCCCTGAAGTTGTGGGCTTCTTAGCTATGGACACTCTGTCCCTTCACCTAGCCTGCAAGTGACTCATGTGTAAGGTGGAGTGAGATGCATGGAGAGGATCTGCTATGGTTTGAATGTGTCTTTCAGAGTTCATGTGTCAGAAACTTAATCCCTAATGCAACAGAGTTGAGAGGTAGGAACTTTAAGAGGTGTTTAGGTCATGAGGGCCACCTTCATGAATGGATTACTGCTGCTATAAAAAGGGCTTGAGGCTGCAAGTTTGATCTGTTCTCTCTCACTCCTCATTGCCCTTCCACCATGGGATGATGCAGCTAAGAGGGCCCTCTTTGGATGCCAGCCCCTCAATCTTGGACTTCCCAGCCTTCAGAACCATGAAACAATACATTTATGTTCATTATAAACTACTCAGTCTCAGGTATTCTGTTACAGCAGTACAAAATGGACTAAGGTAGGATCCTGCTTGGGATCTCTTTTGCTGGGTTCCAGCAGTACAAAGTCAGCCAGGGGCCTGGGCATCTGAGATTTTGAGTCCAAGGCAGACTGACTATCCCTTCTCTATGACCAACTTGCAGTGAAGCCAGGAGAGGACCCACAGTTCCATGTGACTGGAAAAAACTCACTGGCAAGCAGTGTTTTTCTCAGACAAAGGTAACCAATTTCCTTGTGATGCATGTGGTAAAACATGGGTTGAATTAGAACTCAGGCTTTGGTCATAGGTGAAACAGGAGACTTTAGATAGTCCCTGAGGCCACCCCTTGTCCCCACATACAGGCAATCATCAAGGCCTATTCAGGGCCCTCAGTCTCTTAGGTGGAATAATTCCCAAGGTCTATCTTCTACTTTGTGTGGCCCGATGAAAAGCAGTCCTTCTCAAACTTGAACATGCATACAAATCACCCAGGGCTGGGGTGGGGTCTGAGAAAGCACATTTTTAACAAGCTCCAGGTGATGCCAGTGCTGTTGGTCCATGAACTACACACTTTGAGCACATTGCCTACTCTAGGCCTCTGCCTCCTTATCAGTTCCAGAACCAGTTCCATGCTCTAGAGCCCCTTACCTATCTCAAGGTGTGTGCAATAAGAAGATGTTGTTCATTATAGCAGCATTTTTGAACACCTGCTATGTTAAGCCTTGGGGATGAGATGAACAAGACAGAGGCTGTCCCTGCCTTCACGGGGCTCATGTTTGTCAGGGAAGACATCCAGGAAGAGTTATCACAAATGTAGTTCTGAATGTTGCTTTGGAATATATAGCAGGATCAGATGCCTAGCCCAGGCAATGGCAGAGGACCTCCAGAAAGAAATAACATTTCTACTTGGACTTGAAGGATGAATAGGGATTAATCAGCTATGGAAGATGAGCACTCAACCCAGAGTGACCAGTAAGTGATAAATTGGGAGGCAAGCTTGAAGCTGGAGCATTCGAAGAAATGGACACAGGCCAGTGTAGAAAGAATATCTTTGGTCGCCTTTAGGACTTATCACAAACACCACCAAATTAATCATGAATAATAAGATAATAACAATCAGTAGGTAATTAACAATGAATAAAATGATAGGAAGCATCATTTATTTTTGTGTGTTTGTGTCTTTCCTTCCCAACTAGATAATAAATTCCTGCAGGAAGGGATAATGCATCATATTTTATTCATCCATTCAAGAATAATTTATTGAGCACCAACTCTGTGTCAGGCATTGTGCTAATCATTAGAAATATGCCATTATAAATAAGAAATGATGCTAACTCTAGGAAAACTAAATATGAAAACACACCATTGCAATAACCTAATTCATGTTCCAATGGAACGATGCTCAACACCTCTTACCAAGAATGCTGTTTGCCCCTAGCAGTGTTTGCCTTTTCAACTTGATAAAATCCATGTTACTTTCATCAATTAAAATGAACTTACTTTTCTCTCATTTTTTTGTTAGAAGACTGCCAAAGAGATAAAATGTCTTATTACTTCTTTCTTATTGTCCAGCTTTTCATTAACAGATATTTCATTGAGTCTCTTAGGAGATTTCAATAAAGAAGTAGGCTGTGCAGAACAGAGTCAGCCAGATATTATCTAAGTTGTACATTTTGCTTTTTTTTTTTTCTTTTGAATGCTAGAAGCCTGACAGGGGATGGAAAATTTGTTTTAAAATTAGATTCTTTAGAGATTACCAGTTTCTTTTTTCCAACTAGTCTGTTAATCTTTTGTTAAACATATATTGAAGGATAAAATGATGAAAAAGTCAGCCATTGCAGCCAGCTTTTTAATAATGGTGAATTGAAAGTGTTATAGGGCCCTGGTTCTCCCTAGTGAAGTATCAATCATCAGCTTAGATCCTAATCTAAGAGTATCCAAATCTCTCCCTTGGGGACAATGAGAAGGTGGTAGGGGACCCTTCAATGGGCCAAGACCTTACTTTTGGCCCCAAGGACTTGCTTGAGGGAAATCACCTATCCTCCAGGAGCCCAAGAGTTAGAGGATCCCACCTTCAATCCAAGTCAAGGCCTTTCTTGGGAAGCTGGGTTACAGAATTTAGGTCTAGGCCGTGCGCGGTGGCTCACTCATAGCGCTCTGGGAGGCTGAGGCGGGAGGATTGCTCGAGGTCAGGAGTTCGAAACCAGCCTGAGCAAGAGCGAGACCCTGTCTCTACTATAAATAGAAAGAAATTAATTGGCCAACTAATATATATAGAAAAAATGAGCCGGGTATGGTGGCACATGCCTGTAGTTCCAGCTACTTGGGAGGCTGAGACAGAAGGATTGCTTGAGCCCAGGAGTTTGAGGTTGCTGTGAGCTAGGCTGATGCCACGACGCCACACTACCCTGGGCAACAAAGCGAGACTCTGTCCCAAAAAAAAGAAAAAGAATTTAGGTCTAACTCAAACGTTCATGGGCCAGTTTAAGACACCAAAGGAAAGAACTACTACAGAGCCAGAGGATTGGTAAGTATCAAAGTAGAGTTGGCAAGGAACAAGTCAAATGACAGATGGGTATCCACAGCTCACCTTAACAGACTGACAGCTATGTGGATGTGCTGAGCTGGCTTATGGAGACAAGGTTGAGATGGACAGCAAAAATTACTCTTCATGCACAAAGAACCAGAATATGCCCCTTCCCCCTGTGACTTCATTGCCATAGCATTGCAGGACAGGGAATACAGAAACACAACACAGAGGAGCTAGCCCCAGAACATATGGAGTCAGGCAGAGACACCAAGCTACAAGTTCTCAGAAAGGTAGAGGTCATCCCCAAACATGTTGTAGAGCATGTTCAAGAAAAACAAGACCTTATTTACATTATAAGTGCTACTCAATGTATACTCAAAGTGAATTTTTTGACTGATGTCGAGACTAAGAATATTTCTCCAAATCATAAATAGGGTCCTAAACAAGGAGTGACATATCAGAACAGATAACGTGACAAAAACTGTATGGCACACAGAGGAAGGGCAGATGATAGCAAAACATTCAGCTCAGGAAGAAGAGAAATCAGAACAGACATTTCCTGAGAACATAGGGTTAAAGGTTTTTTATAAATTATTTTCATAAAAAAGAAAATTAGAAATTAATATTAGTGCCACATTGTATACTAATTTCTAGTTGTTGAGTAAA